AAGAAAGTTAAAACTTTGCCAACATATTTCTTCTTTGTGGGAAATCAAGACAGTCGAGTGAGCTAGGTAAGTAGTTTATGGGAAAAAAATCAAGACATTTGAGTGTGCTTTTTTTACTTTCTTTTGTTTTTTGTTTCGTTTTCTATTGGCAAGTGATTATCTAGGAACTTGTATTTTTTTTTGTTTTTTCATCGTATCTCCCGAACTATTGAATTCAGAGAAAAATGTTATGAGGATTTTTTGTAGATTTTATCAAAAGGAATAATTTTGATTCTATAACATTTTCAGATATTTCCAGTTGTTTTCGAGATATTTGGAATCATCTGAGAATAAAATTTTCAACACTTTTGTTCCATCTTCCAATCAACAAAAGGAAAAAATATTTTATGGTTCCGTGAAAGACGATGATCTTCATCTATCGATAATCTTTCGTTTTTCAATATATCTTCATGGTACCCTATGGGTCGTTCAAATTTTTTTTATATTTTTTACTTTATTTCCTGTACTATTGGGTTTACAGAAAAAATGTTGGGTAATAATTTGTAGGAAATGTTCCAGTGGATAATTTTGCACTTCTGATAATTTTCGATTTTTCCATTTGTTTTCTATATATATTGAATTGAAAGGATTTCAAATTTTGATGTTTTGATTTTCATTTGTTTTTCCATTTTCCGATGGATGCACGAAAAAATTATGAAATAATAATTTGTTGCGTCATCAAAGATGCATACTGTGCATTTCTCAAATTTGGATTTAGTCTGTTGGTTCAGGAGATATGTCGTTTTAAAGCGAACCGTGTGTTTCGGAAAATCTGCTTGAAAAACCCACTTGGAATTTCCCGACCCTGCTCAATTTCAATAGGCTCCGTCTCTTCCTGATAGAGTTTTTTTTCACAAAAAATGAAATCGATCGGATCACTTTTGCGATTTGTAGAGTGGTCACAAGAAACTTCCGGTGAAAAATCGAAAAAACCCGGAAAAACCACCTTAGAGTTTTTCGATTTCCTTCATATTTTAATGACATAATATTGTTTTGAGTACAATAAGACGACAAAGTTTCAAGTCGACATGTCGAAGGGTACCGGAGATATATCGATTTATGATCAACACAGAGTACAGACAGACAGACAGACCACACACAAAAACCAAAGTTGCTCAAAATTCGATGGGGATCATTTTCTCCAAAGTAACTATACCTCTATCTCACTTAGTTTCCGAGATAGCATTTTTGGCAAGGCCGTAGTATACTCCACTATGTATAGCGTCGTATAACAAGGGTCTCTGACACAAAAAAATTTGACGTATATTATACAGGGTGTCGAAATTGGTTGCCACAGGAAAAAGCAACATGGTCGGTATTACAAAGGTATGTAGAAAGGGTGTGACGTACTATATGGTACGACTATGATTGATGTAAAAAAAATACATTCAAATAACATTTTATCCCCACGAAAAACAGACAGAAAAAAACGAGTTCAAATTTCTTATGTTATCAAGTAATCGACTCCATCACTATGTCTGGGACGTGATTTTATACCGATTTTCTTATCTGTATTTCGCTTTATCTGAACACCTGCGGGTGTCTTAGTATATAAAACAGAAAAACAAGATGGCCGCACCACAATGTACTTCTACAAATGGAATCTGACATATTATACAGGGTGTCCCATAATAAGCGTGCAATACTTCACCAGCAGATTTAACAATTAAAAATATGAAAAAAGCTTCTGTGAATATAGGTCGAACAATGTCTCATAGGGGAGCTACAGCAAATTTGCTTCCATACATCTAATGGAGTGATGAAGCCACATCCACCTAGGGCATTCAATATGCATAACACCCATTTCAGGGCTAACGAAAATCTCAGAGTAGTACGACGGACAAGCTTCCAACAAAGATTTTCAGTGAATTTATGGTCAGGAATAATAGGTGGTCAACTAATTGGTCCTATTGACCTATAGCTTGGCCACCCCGATCTCTCGACCTGAACCCACTTGACTTTTGTTTTTGGGGAATTTGAATTCGCTGGTTTTCACTACTGAATTAATGAGGCTGCGAACGAAATGAAGAACAAACCAATTTCAAATTTTGCGTGCTTCTCAATCTATGAGCCGTCGGGCCCGACTATGCGTTCAACAAAATGGAAGCCACTTTGATCAATTACTCGACTGAAAAAAATGTCGCCCAGATTAATTTAATAAGCATTTTTTCCATGAATTGAAGAACAATTACTTGAGTGAAAAAAATGTCGCTCAGATAAATTTAATAGGTATTTTTCCATAGACTAAATGACTTTACAATGCTTCTGTTACTTGTTTCATGAATTTTGATGTCACCTGACTTTTTTCTGTTTTCCGAACCAATTGTCGTTCTACCTAGTTAGGTAGTTTTTTATTTAGATCGACAACGCCCAAACATACTGTCTGTGCATAGCCTTGATCAAATTTTGGATTTTTCTGATTTCATATGAATTTTTATGACATGTGGAGTAATTTTCAAATCAATTCTACTCGAGAACGGTGCTTCCTAACGAAGTTGAAGGAGAAGCACTTTTTCATGCAAAAGGCTTCAAAGAGTTGGAGTGATTTTACCACCCACCCCCTACAGTATGACCAATTTCTGGATGGAATTTTCAAATTATTTTTATCGCATATTATAAGGCATAAAAAGATTGGTCGACTTGCAGAATGTCATAGTTCTGTTATCAACAGTTTCGAAGATATAAAATAAAAACAATCGTCAGAGTACCACCTTCAAGGGGCTGTAGCTCGCTTATGAGACATTGTTCGACCTATATTTATAAAAACTTTTTTTCATATTATCAATCGTTCAATCTGCTGGTGAAGTATTGCACGTTAATTATGGGACACCCTGTATATAAGATGTCTAGGACATGACAATATTCCTTGACAAATATGAATCTGACAAATATACTGGTGTCTCAGTATAAGGTGAAATTCAATTTCCAAGAAATCTGGACGCAATTCATGAACGAGTCATTCAAGCAGCACAACTATATTTTGGCTTCAAATTAGCAGCTCTTGACTCGGATGTTATGAAGTGAATTACACTTTGATTGCTGGTCTGCTATCAGAAGGAGCTTCCCCCCTATAATATACAATGGTCACTGATTAGATCGCCGCTTACTTCAAGATCGCCATGACATTGAAATCATAATTTGATATTGGCATTCATCGGTCTTACGATTTTTACACCACGTAATTCAAAAAGATGAAATATGTGGTCATTGTGAATGGAATATTCATGACAAGCCGAATGGGCATTATCACAAAAGGATCCAAGACGGAGTGAAGCCAACTCATAGGTACAACAGGAGTAAACACTGAAGTATATACTGATGGTTTGAATATTATAACAAGAAAAATATAACCAAATGGAGTCATTAGGAAACACATGAACCAGAAAAAAAATTCAACCAATCTTACAGAAAAGTGTTCATCGATACTCATTTTAGCACCCATGAAAATTCTAGAAACAAAACTAAAGAATCAAGCACTGCAACCTTAGTGAAACATATTAAACCATCGAATATCAGAAATACAGTGCTGTAACAAAGAACTAACCTACTATTCTTTGGCTGTAAGCTTCTGATGATGCTATCATGTTCCACTGGCTGTTAGTTGTAAATGATTATATCCTCTCAATCAAGTGCTGTGTGCCTATGAATTATGAACTAGGCTGTGATTTTACTATGCGAAATTAAGGGACGCCCATGGCCGCTCGATCACACTCAGCCGATGGTTATAGTTCGAATATACTTTTCCTGTGGAAATAATCCACATACGCATCTCCTGGATTTCTGGCTGTATTAAATTGGTTGCTCTGTTGGCGTTATTTTTGCGCGAACTATAATTTGAATACATAAGCGTAGGTAATTGATATGGTATAGTTCCACCAGCCAAAGAAGTACTATGACAAAAGGGAGAGGATGAAGACGTTCAGTCATCGGAGCCTAGACTATCAGAACAATTCGGTTTGCAGATGACGTCGATTTCATCAAGTCATGATGAACGATATGACTGACTGCACTTCTGAATTGATACTATCATTTCTAGCAATTTGCTTGAGCGTTTTCAAAGTAAGAGGAAACTGCTAATCGCAAAATTTATATTGTGCTCTGGGATATTATTTCCTGTCAGACGATATTTCTGTCACATGTAACCCGTTTTGATTTCAATTTTCCTTTGAAAAGTCACTGCACGATACACACGGAAGTGGAAGACTAGCGTCTAGAGAGAGGACGTATCAAATATATCGAGTGAGCCGTGCTAAAGCAACTTTATTTCCGAACGAAATAAAGAAGGATTTTCCTAAACAGACTAACCTGACTAGGCCTAAATAACCTTCTTCCCAATTGATCACACCAAGAAAAAAGTAGTGGTTGGAGTAGGATTCGAACACGGGACCTGTCAATCCATAGGCACGGATGTTGCTCTATTAACCATCACATTTCTGGCGAGATTATGTACACCACAAATTTATACGCTCATCTCTAGCAAGCGGCGCGAATATATTTGATGCTTCCAGTCTTTAGACGCTAATGGTGGAATCGGTGACCATCAGATATATTCAGTGAGATAGCAGCAAGGATAGTAGACGACAAGCGGAGATTCTGGGCGGTCGCGATGGCTCGTCAACGTTTCCAAATACTATTTTTACATTTTTGTGACATCATTCCAAAGGATTTGCTGCATTAACAATTGAAGAAAAAAATAAGTATTTCATCTAACGTTGAAAACTTACATATTGTATTCTTGTTCATTTTAGAAATTGAATGAATTGACTACTAGAAGCATACTCAAGAAGCACATATATTTGAATTCTAATTTACAACCTCCAACTCATGCGATTTATTGATCTTGAAAAATTTTAAAAATTAGTTTTCGATATAATTTTCTCCCAGCTTCCAGAGATACTGAACTCACGACACGCCAATGATTGGCATGTACACCATGTAATATAACTTATTAAAAAACTTACTTGTATGGCTGTTATTGGTCTAGTATCAGATAAATAACTCAAAATCTCATTCTGGACAGAAGATCTTAACATCGTGTAGGATTCTGCTGTTGAGTCACCTAAAATGAATTATTATCGTTCAACATTTGGGCCAAGCGATGGGTTGTCGTATTCTTAGATATTAGAATCACCCAGTATCCTAGACTATCCGATATATGTCAATAGTTCATGACATACGATAATAAGTTTTCAATAAATGTGTCAAGTAACATTACAAGCCCTTCTAATATATCCCAGTTCTATACAATAATTGGCGACGATAGTGAAAAATAATATTCATTATTGAAATGGATGCAAATCAATTGAAGGAGCTGATGTTAGCGCTACAGGACCAACAGCAAGTATTACTGACTCAACTTGCCAATCAATTTCGATCGGAACAACGTTTCGAAGTTCCAATAAGCTTTTCAAATGTAGTGCCGTTTGAAAATTTCGATCAAAGACGTTAGAAATTCCTATGTTATCTGGAACGTTTCAAAAATTATTACACCATGAAAGGTATCACGGATAAGTTCAAAATCGCTTAACTTCTATGTGTGTCGATTGGGTCAACTCACTATAATGGCTTAGCAGCTTTCCTAGGACCCGAAAAGCCAGTGAAAAATCTATCTTACGATGATCTTGTTCAATCATTCAAACAAATGCTCATTCCTAAACGTAACGTCATCGTATCCCAGCATTATTTTCTCAACATTTATCAAAAGAACCGCCAGTCCACTGCCGAATTTGTTGCTGCTCTTCAACGAGACATAGTCGAATGCGAGTTTTCCGTGAAGTGCGAATGTAACGCAGCAGTTTCAATAGCTGATGTTTTTCTCAGAGCACAATTCATCAGAGGTATACGTGATGACTGGCTACGGGAACAGCTACTTCAATCCAATGTCACGAATTTTGATTAAATTTTGTCCAAAGCCATCGCATTGGAAGCTTCAAAAATTGAAAGCAAAGAGCTCACTCAATCTCATCGCTCTAGTTCGGATCATTCCAACTTCAATACAAGTGATGCAAACAAACTTTCAAGCTCTTCTAGGAACCGTTCTAGAAATCGATCTAGTTCTAGAACCAGGAACCGTTCATCAAGTACCAGTTACTGCTCATCAAGTCCCAGTAACCGTCGCCGTTCTCGGCGTCATCGACCAAACTATCAGGCCCTATGCATTGACAATATGTGTCCGCTGTGGAAAAAACAACCATAAAGTGGACGATTGTCGTGTAGATCGTTCAAACGTTACATGTGATCACTGTAAAAAGACAGGTCACGTGGGAAAGGTCTGTATAACAACCCTGTTAAAGAACTCACATTGTAGACCTACCAGTACCAGTTCTTCGTCTTCAGTTCAAAACGTTTGCTCAGATTTTTCATATGGACTCAACCAAATAAAACCCTTCAATGTTGTCGATTTATTCGAAATGACCCCAGAATCCGACAAATATCTAATCTCAGTGTATTTGAATGGAAAACCTCAATGGTTTGAGGTAGATTCAGGTGCAAAATTTTCACTGATAGCTGAAAATGGCTTCAAGAGACTGAATTTCCAGGTGCCTCTTGAACCTTCGACTGTTGCTTTCCGATCTTACTCAGGCAATATTATCGAACCAAAAGGAAAAATAAACGTCACTGATGTTGAATATCGTAACAAGCAAATCCTAGGTGAATTACATATTGTACCAGAGGGTCACGATGCATTACTAGGTCGTCAATGGATACGAGGATTAGGAATTGAACTTCGACAAATTGATGCAGATAAAAAAATTCCAAGTCAAATATCTCGTGTTCATTCGATTAAATCAACTGAAGACATACTCAATCATTTTCCTTCGATTTTTCTGAAAAAGGTTGGATGTGTGCCGCATTTCCAAGTTTCCCTTCGACTTCGTGAGGACGCCAAACCAGTCTACACCAGAGAGCGAGATGTTCCGTACGCGCTTCGTGAGCTAGTAGAGAAGGAATTGGACAACCTGGAAGCCGACGGTATAATATCTCCTGTCGCTTTCACTGATTGGGGTTCTCCACTTGTCATCATTCCCAAACCTGATGGAGGAGTACGCTTGTGCGTTGACTACAAATGTGGCGTTAATGAACGATTAATCCAGGCAAACACGCCCATATGAAGAATTGACGATGTGCTCAACAGTCTACGCAACTCTCGGTATATCTGCAAGCATGACCTTTTCAAGGCGTACTTACATCTGCAAGTTGACGAAAACAGCAGTATAATTCAAACTTTATCCACACATCGGGGAACCTATCGGATGAATCGCTTGAGTTTTGGGATCAAAACTGCTCCAGCTGAATTCAATAGGATTTTATCGCAGATCCTCAAGGATCTTCCAAAAACTGAAGCGTATTTTGATGATATAATAGTTCATGGAACAGATTTCGACGAGTGTGCTCAAAATCTTGAAGAATGTCTCCGTAGACTCTCGGACTACGATCTTCACGTTAACCAGAAGAAATGTTCATTTTTCATGGAAAAAATTGATTATCTTGGTCATATTGTTGAATACAGCAGAATAAGCAAGTCTCCAGCCAAAATGCGCGCCGTTCAGGATTTACCACGACCTTCGAATGCTGATGATATCAAACGATTTCTCGGACTTGTCACTTATTACTCTCGGTTTATACCACATTTTTCAACGATGTCATACCCACTTCGATGTTTGCTTAGGAAAAACCAACCCTGGGTATGGTCATCAAACTGTGAAGCTGCTTTCCTGAATATCAAAACAGAACTTTGTAGTGACTGAGTACTAATGCCTTTCGACCCATCTCTTCCACTGGTTCTAACAACGGATGCTAGCCCATTTGGGGTTGCTGCGGTGTGTCATCAATTCAATGGATTCGAGAGACCCATCGCTTATGCTTCTCGTGCACTCACAGACTCAGAGAAGAACTATAGTCAGTTGGATAGAGAGGCTCTTGCCATAATTGTTGGTGTCACTCACTTCTACATGTACTTGTTCGGTACTCATTTCCTTCTGGTCACTGATAATGAACCCTTATCGAGAATATTACATCCCCACAAAGCTCTGCCACAAATGACTTCATCGCGCCTTCTACGTTATGCTTCTTTTTTGTCCGGATTCAATTATTCCGTTAAATTCAAGAGAGGGCAAGAAAATCAAAATGTTGACTGTTTGTCTCGAGCTCCAGTGAAGCAACTAAATGTTTCAGCAGATGGATTTATTGGTGATGAAGTAAATCAAATTTGTGATCAAGTTGTTTTTCATATTTCAAGCAGTGAGATTACTTCGACTACAATCAAAATGGAAACTGAAAAGATCCAGACCTGAAACGAATACTCGAAACTCTACAATCAACATCAGAAGATAGCGAATTTACCTTGGTTGATGGCATAATTTTTCGAAAAGATAGAGTTGTCATTTCAGCCGTGCTACGCACCAATGTTCTCGATGAACTCCATGATACGCAATTGGGGATGACTAAGATGAAACAACTCGCACGTCGGTATGTATTTTGGCCAAACATCGACCGTGATATAGAGCGAATGGTCAAAAGCTGCGAAATATGTGGCTTGACAAAATCAAACCCCCCAAAAGCGCCTGTGCACCCGTGGGATCCTCCTGAGATGAATTGGGAAAGGATTCACATCGATTATGCGGGTCCATTCGAAGACTGTTACTTCCTGATTTGCGTGGATGCCAGATCTGAGTAGACTGAAGTGAAAATCTCAAAAGATGCACCAACGAGTTCATCCACCATTTATCTTCTAGAAAATATCTTCTCTATGCATGGTTATCCACAAGTGATGGTATCAGACAACGCTTCTATTTTTCAAAGCGAAGAATTCCACATTTACTGCGTTTCGAAAGGAATCTTCCAGACATTTATTGCTCCAAACTATCCTGCTACTAATGGTCTCGCTGAAAGGAATATTCAAACTCTGAAGAATCGGCTAAAGGCTGCTTCTAGTGATTACAGGCCGATCCAGGATAAGCTACAGGATATTCTCTTTCGCTACAGAGCTACTACACTTGTCTGTGGTAAATCACCTGCAGAATTGTACCTCAATAGGAAATTGAGAATTCGTTTGGATGCCATTTTTCCGTATACACTCCACGAGTCCAGGACATCTTCGAGGACTCCTCGTTCATTTCATGAGGGGGAAAGAGTCCAGATCAGACTTGTCATCAATAATAAGAACGTCTGGCATTTCGGCGTAATTCAAAAAGTTCTTGGACAACGCCACTATTCGGTTACATTGGATTCCGGCCGAACACTGAAACGACATGTCGACCAACTTAGATCGAGTTTGGTTCCGAAGCCTACTGTTACCTTTGGACCTACTCAATCATTCGATGTTCCAAGAATACCAACAGTGCCACAGCCACATAATATACCAGAATGTGTTGTTGAACCAGTAGAACCAAATAGGTGTCATGTTCCAGATCTTCCTCAAGATCGACCACAGCGCCAGCGACGCCTACCTTCACGTTTTGCTGACTACGGCATGAAGTCTTAAAATTGTTATTAACTTTTATTTTGATGATTTGTGTATTTTCTAATTATGTGGGGGAGACTGTCGTATTCTTAGATATTAGAATCACCCAGTATCCTAGACTATCCGATATATGTCAATAGTTCATGACATACGATAATAAGTTTTCAATAAATGTTTCAAGTAACATTACAAGCCCTTCTAATATATCTATATCCCAGTTCTATACAATATTATTATTATTATTATTATTAATATGGGTACAACATTTTGTGGGATGGTAGAGATAGATTTCCTGATAGTTCACCTGAGTATGCGACCGCCGCTCGAGAGGTGAGGGGATGAAAACTCTTGGGGCGCTTCGTGGAGAATAGCACCGTTTGGGTAGGTGCTATTGAAAAAAAGTTCAAATATCATCAAATATCAGGCATCATTTTTGACCAAAAATTATCATTCAGTGACCATATAACAAGTATAACACGAACATCCTATAGAAATCTTGGCTTTGTTATTCGAAATTCCAGAAAATTCAAGTCAGAAAAAACGCTCAAAGTTCTTTACAACAGTTTTGTTCGGGCAAAATTAGACTATTGCAGTAT